AACATAATCCACAAGCACTACGTATCCAAAACACAAGGTGTAACATAACATGAAAACTGCCATCTTTGATAAGAATCACAGAACCCTTAGGGTTGGAAGGGACATCTGAAGGCCATTTAGTCTAATTCCCTACAGTGAACAGGGACACCACAGCTACATCAAGTTGCCCAGGGCACGATCCAGCCTCATCCTGAAAGTCTCCAGAGATGGGGCATCAATCACATCTCTGAGCAACCTGTTCCAGTCCCTCATCATCCTCACTGAAAAAGATTTCTTCCTTATATACAGCCTAAACCTCCCCTCTTTAAGCTTGAAGCCATCTCCTCTTGTTCTATCACCACACAACCTGCTAAAGACTCTGTCCCCTTCTTTTCTGCATTAAACACTGAAAGGCTGCTATCAGGTCACCTCAGAGCTTCGTGTTCTCCAGGCTGAACAGCCCCAGCTCTCTCTCGGCCTGTCAAGCATCTGAATGACTCTGCATAAATTCAATTTGATCTTTTGAAGTTACACGTGCAGCTGATCTCGTACAAAACTTGTTCAGCTCAATGGGCACCCAAGACTCTCCTGCTTTGTAGAGACACATGACTGAATTAGCCTGCTGGTAATCACTACTGGATTTCTCCTTCACAGTTCAACTGGTAAGGCAAAAGAAAACATGATTTTTAAAGTGTACTAATAACATATCTATGAATTGAACATTTATACAAAGCAAGTTAAACTGTATCTTACAATACAAACAATGCAAAGAAAACTCCTGTCCAATTGTTTACAGCAAATCAGTGATATGTAAGTCTACATCATTTCAATGCAGATGGGATCCCATCAAAATACAAAAGAAAACCTGGACTCTTGAGCCAACAGACCTTCAGTGACATTATTTTCATAGCATTTCTAGGGCCTGCTTCATCCACACTATTAATACTGAGAAATGTGAGGGAATATAGAATGGCCTGGATTGAAAAGGACCACAATGATCATAGTTTCAACTCCCTGCAGTGTGCAGGGTCACCAACCAGCAGACCAGGCTGCCCAGAGCCACATCCAGCCTGGCCTTGAATGCCTCCAGGGATGGGGCATCCACAGCCTCCTTGGGCAACCTGTTCCAGTGCCTCCCCACTCTCCGAGTCAAAAACTTCCCCCTAACATCTAGCCTAAACCGTACCATGAAGCCAATGATTTTCAAGGATAGCCACAACCCATAAGACTTATTCCAGAAAATCTATAGTATCTAGACTTCAACTGCCAAAACTGTGGTCACTGCACATATCCTGTGGGCACACACAACCACAACGATGGGGGGGGAGGTTGAGAAGTATTGTGAAAGAGAAATGTGCTGTAGGGATTTAGGTTTTAGGCAATTAAAAGTACTATTGTTTTGAAAGTCCAAGCACTTTTTACAGATGCACAACTGTTACAACAAGTTAGCATTAGAGGAAAAAAAGGAAGGTGACCTCAGAAACGACGCTAGCATTTATCTTATAAACAACACTTGAAAAAGGAAACTGCAAAATCCAACGCATGCAAGTTTAGTATATTTCATAAGAAAAAAAATAAACTGAGTATTACCATTTCATCTAACTTTTCTGCATCAGAACACATCTTTGGCAACAGAAATAAAAGGAAGAATAGAAAAAATTCTTCTTTTTCTGGTGAACTGGCAGGATCTCTCTGTTCACTCCTCCCCAAACACAAGTATTTTTATGGGTGGTCACATTCTATACTGGTCAAAATGTCGTACTGATACTCCAAAATACATTGACAAACTCCAGTTTCAATTACAAAAAGGCCTTTAAGATCAGAAACTAATCTCTCCTACACAAATGGTGCCTGCTCTGCCAAGAACGCAACCACCTCTACCTCCTGCACACACTTGTAGCAATCCAGACAAACTGACTGTAGGCAGGGGGATCAGCTCTGCATCCACACGCACCTTACCTTTTTTTCATAGAATCACAGAATGGCCTGGGTTGACAAGGACCACAACGATCATCCTGTTTAACCCCCCCTGCTGTATGCAGGGTCGCCAACCAGCAGACCAGGCTGCCCAGAGCCACATCCAGCCTGGCCTTGAATGCCTGCAGGGATGGGGCATCCACAGCCTCCTTGGGCAACCTGTTCCAGTGCCTCACCACCCTCTGTGTGAAAAACTTCCTCCTAACATCTAACCTAAACCTCCCCTGTCTCAGTTTAAAACCATTCCCCCTTGTCCTATCACTATCCACCCTTGTAAACAGCCATTTTTGTTTTTGTATGAAGGATCGGGAAACAGCGTCAGGAATTCTAATTGCCAGTTGCAATATGTCACAACATACCTACAGCAACAATAACATTCAGAAATAATCAGTGGAATCTGGTATACTATTCTTTAATTTCAGAAAGAGTGCTCTTTAATGCAGGGCAACTACTTCTGGCACATACCATACTGAAATTTTGGCACCTCACAGAAAAGTTTTATGCATACAAATAGTGTATCATTAGACCTCAGACTAGACCAAAGTTCTAATTGTCTCCTCTACCAGCCAATTTCATGCTATGCAAGTAAAAACAAAACCAACTCTGGGAGTAGGGGCCATTTCAAGTTCAGCAGCTGCATTAAATACAATAGCAACAAGCGTTCAATGTTCCTAGCAGACTACTTGGGTAGAAGCTATGCTGGCTTTATTTTAATGGTAAAAAAATTCTCATCTCTTTGGTTCCATGCAGATTAATTTCTGAGACGTGTCTACCTGAAATGCATACTACAAACACATCTTCCCGCTTAAGATTTATTCTACTGCACCTATTACTACAAGCAACATAAGCACATGTTCAAGGCTGGTACTCTCAATTATCATTTTTTTCCCTCTCCTCAAACCATTGCTGACACTTTCATTTCAATTCTTTGCTTTTCATCCCATACTACAAACAGAAATTCTTATTTACCCTGGTGTTATCCTACCAAAAACTAAAATTACAATCTATGGTTACAGCACAAAGGTAGATCAGAAAAGGCTATTTGGCATCATCATTCACAATGATCTACTTGCCAGATTCGCATTCTTTCCTGAATCCAAATCTAACCTAATTGCATGATTAGAGGTATTAACAAAAGAGTACGCAGATTTCCCACCAGCTAACTACAGCAGCAATGGACAGAATAAGCACTTAACTGTATCTTAGTTGTCATTCCACTGAACAGCGACATAAAGGAAAATTAAAGAAAAACAACACAACTCCTCTGAAAACCAACTTATCTTACTGTCTCCGGTTCCAGATATTACAGTGGGAGTACCAGGACTGAAAGGATAAAGTGTGGTTTGAGAAGCAAGTGCAAAGAGCAACCCGCTTGGCTCAGATGAAGTCTGAGCCTAACACACTGGAGAAACTGTTCAGAAACAGTTCATCTGTACGAAACATGACCCTTGTAAGGCTGCCAAAACCAGTGAGGGCATACAAGTGCTAATCACGCGAGCTAAAATGGTCCAAGCTGATTGCCTAAATGTGGATGATCGCCTCGCCTAAATGTAAAGTTAATGAAAAGAAGGCAACTGTTCTCCTTACCAATAGGCAACCAGCACATCTAACCCCCACCACAGGCAAGTACAACTCCTGGCTGCTGCAGCTGGGAGCCTGAATACAGCTGATATAAGACTCCTCCTTCAATACCATACCCTCCTAATGAGGGCTTGGGGGAAGCAGTGTGCTCATTTCACAATGGAAAGAACTCAGCAATCAAAACTGCTGCGTTAGGAACTACACTATATAAAAATGCCATCCAGTTGCATGCATTGAGGGAGGTTACAGGTGACTAGAAACAAAAGGAAGAAGGTTAGGACTCAGCGTGCAATAACACTGCACAGCCCAACACTCTCCAGAGTCATCAACATGGACACCGAGAGTCTGTTTATTTGACTGAGGAGAAAATACACATATGTGGAGGTTTCCATTAAATACATTTTTTGTTAAAATACTTAACTATCACCTTAAGCATATATTGCCATACTAGATATGAACAAACAGCATATCTTACAGCTATAGTGCAGGGTCAGAATGTCCTGATTTGGAAGGGATACATAAAGACCACTGAATCAAACTCCAGACTCCACACAGCACCACCTAAAATCAAACCCTATGTCTGAAAGCATTGTCCAAACGTTCCTCGAACTCCTGCACATGGGGCTGTGCCCACTGCCCTTCACCTTTGGTGAAGAACCTTTTCCTGATATCCGATAGGGGAAAAAAGGGCAATGGAAAACAGGCTTTTTCCCTACCCTAAGAAGTACCACACCATCATGTATGGGATGCCACTTATTTTAAAAGGAAAAAGTATTCATTCCACATTACTCTCCTACATCCACAGATGCGATTCCCTGCAATTCCCAGAGTTCACAACACCGCTTTCTATGACCCAAACCATCGTTCCTTCCCAAAATAACGGAGCGGTCAATTCAGAACAAAAAGGAAAACCTGTCCGGAAAGTTACCGACACCCAACGAGAAACCGACAGACCGAACCCCGACGGCGCAGCACCGTCCTCCTCCCGCGGTCCCGCGCTCCCTCGGTGCCGTGCCTTCGCCGAGCCCAACTCCGTGCGCGCAGAGGAACGCTGCCCCTGGTCTCCCCCCCCCAAGGCGCGATGGCTGCCGTGTGACCGAACAGCGCACGCCAACCGGCACCGCATCGCTCCGCTTCCCCCCGCCCAGGCACGGCCGCAATAGAAAGAACAAATACAAAATAAAAAATTAAAAAAATAAAAAAATAAAAAAGAAAGAAAAGAAAAGAGAGAGATAGAGATAAAGAGAGGCCAGCCCGAGGCCGGCGGGCAGCGGCCGCTCGGGGGGCTCCACGCACCGCGCTGGGGGCACGGAGGACGGAGAGGGCAGCGAGGCGCGTGTCAGCCCGGCCGCAGCGGGCGGAGGCTTTGCGGGGCAGGGGGCGCCGCTGTCCCCACCGCGAGGGAGGGTGCGAGCGCCGGCAGCCGTCGGCCCGAAGCGAGGCGGTACCCCCTCAACCCGTACCTCATATCTGCGCGGGCCGCCGGGCCCCGCTCACACCCATGGCGACGGCGGGGGGGATGGAGGAGCCGGAGCGGCGCCCGCCACCGCCTCCGCCAGGCGCACCATCCCCTCCCGCAGCCTCCTCAGCCGCCGTCTGGCGGGCGGCGAGGGGAGGAGCCCGTACCGCGCTCGCCCTCCCAGCCGCCGTAGTGACGCGAGGCCGCGGCCCGCTGCTCAGCCCCGTGACGGGCAGGAGATCGCCGCCAATCAGAAGCTGCGAACTCCGCGGGGACTCCGCCTCCGCCGGCCAATCGGGTTCGCTCTCGCGCCCAGGGGGTCAGCGCGCGGCGAGGGGAGACGGGGGCGAGGGTAGCCGAGCCCGTTTCCCCCACGGCTCCAGTGGGACGCGCCCAAAAGGCGGGGAGAGGGGCGGGGCCGCGGCAGCGAGGAGGCGCGGCTTTGTGTTGCGGAATTAACTCAGCGCCTCTTCATTCTCCTTGCTGCTGGCTGAGTCGCGCAGGGCGCTGCGGCTCACGCCTTCTCCCCGCCAGAGGTGAGTGATGGTGCGCCTAGCCAATCCCGTTTCCGCTTTCACGCCGAGCGCCCAATCGCGAACCTGCTTGCTTCGGTGGGGTGGGGCGTGAGGGCGTGACCCGCGCTCTCCGAAGGGCGCTGAGGTGGGAGCGCGGCGGAAGCAACTGTTCGTCATGGCAACGGCCGGGCGCGGAGCCCGAGCTGTCGGGCGCGGCCGTGTACTTAGGCCCTGAGCCTCGGGTGGGGCTGCCGACCCCGGGTCGGGCTCCGGCTCTGTGTAGGGGACTGCCGAGTGCAGAAATACAGAGAGGGGCGTTTGGCGGCCCGAGGGGCGGGCGGTACCCGGAGAAGGGCGCTCGGTGATGCGGCTGCGGGTTGTGAGCGGGCGTTGGCGCGGCAGCCGCGTTGATCTGCGCTACAGAAGTGGCTCTGATGGGGCCGCTTGATGGGTGCCAACGTGAGGCCGGGCTGGCTCCTCCTCTGTCTGTGCTCTCCTTCCCCTCGGAACTTGAAGAAACCTGTTTGCAAAAAGATTCTTCTTCATCGTGAGCAGTGTATATCAGAGAGGAGAGCTAAAACCTGAGTTGTGATTCTTGTTGTGTGTGAGGTTCCTGGTGTTCCTGCAGCAGTTTTATTTCCCTTTGTGCTGTCTTTATCTGAGCTGCTCTAACTGCGTGCCTTTCAGCTGGGTGGTATGCTCCCCATCCACTGCTGGGCTAACACATCGTCCATTGCCTTATGCAGCGCATCTCAGCCCCCAGCAGTTGCTACACTGTTGTCAACAACACTGATGTAATGCGTTGTAGGTAACAGCTGAGGCACTGGCACAGCTGCCCAGAGAAGCTGTGGTGCCCCATCCCTGAAGGCACTAAAGGCCAGGTTGGATGGGGCCCTGGGCAGCCTGAGCTGCTGGGGGGCAGCCCTGCCCACAGCAGAGGTTGGGGCGGCGTGGGCTTTGTGGCCCCTTCCAACCCAACTCAAGCCATTCTATGCTTCTGTGATTCTATCAAGCTTTATCTCTTTATCTGTTTTAAAATTTATTTGAGAGACTCATCGTGTCTCTGTTGCTTGCAAACAATTGCTATTCTGGTTAGAAATTAATGTAAAGCTTTAGTGGCTTATTTTCTCTGTACTTACTGCATGATTACAGTTACTGTGTCTTTTTTCCAGGTCACCATGAAGGCCTTGTATTGTCAGCAGAATTCATCCGGAGAGGAAATGACCTTTATTTTCCAGGAAAGAGTAAGTTCTAATCATAACAGCACAATTAATCATTCAGTGGAAGAAGGGAGTGAAACTTAAAAAAAGAACTGGTGTTATCCTTGAGCAAGCAGGCAGGTAAATAAAGGTAGGAGATAAGCATTTTACCATCATGATGCAGCACTTAGCAAGGGCTGTGCTACATTTCTGCTTGCAGTTTGCTGTCTGCATTTAAAAACAGCTTTTTTGCCTTGCTGCAAAGCTGGAGTTCATTAATTTTATGCTCCCTTCTCTTGAGTAGATTTTCTGGTCACTGAAAAAGTAGAAATGTAGCTTGAGAAATTTACCATGTTCAAAGTGTCTTTGCTGTTAATTTTCTTTCTCATAAGTTCTTTGCTCATTTTGGGGACTGAAATCACAGTGCAGCCTTTCTCTTAGAAGCGTTGATAGGTCTCCTCTGTCTAGCTAACCTATCTTCCTGCAACTTGAAAGAACAAGGAGACTGCTACTTGTCTGTCAGATCTAGTTGAAACTACTGTGCTGGCCAGTCTTTGTCAGTTTGATGTAAGTATTAATTGAATAAGCATACATGGAAGTTGGTGGCGTAAGACTAAAACAGATTCTGGCACATGTATATTGATGCAGTGTGAGTGTTTGCAGAAAAATGCTTACGTGGTTCTGGGGATGTGAACCCATGTTTTTTAAATGAATCTCTTAAAGGCACAAAATAAATTGCTACAGATACCCATGTATATTTATGTCACATAGATAGCTAAGTATACCTATGAGCCATATGTCAAAATGAAACAACATAGTTCTGATAAGAATCTTGCTTGAGTAGATGTAAATTCACAGTAACGAAGCATGTTTAATGAGTTGCTGGAAGAGAAGCATGCAATAAGATGGCTGATTATGATATAACAAGATGCATATTCAGTGAGCAATCTTAAATCCACTTACACTGATCATTAAATAGTGCTTTAGCTGAAAAGGTTTTTTCACCTCTCAGCGACACATCTTTTGTCTCTTCTTTTTAATGGCTCTAAGAGTTATGCAGTTATAAGGTGACGTATCAGCTTACTTACCCAGCTGAGAACTATTAACTTTTACAGATTAGTTTACATCTATGTGGTGGCTTCATGATTACTGGCTCCAACACTGAAGAGGGAAGGAAGTAGACGTAGATGCTGCCAACAGGCAAACCCATCAGCTGTGGTATAGCCATAAGCAAGCTAAATTAGATCTTTAGACTGCAATCCCATATATATTAGTTTTCTGTCCGCTTGCTTATTTTAAGCTCTTCAGACAGGAGCTAATTCTGCAGATATTTGTACCATGAATAGTGCTGTGGAATCCTGATCCCAAATAGAAATAAATTTTGGAAAAAATAAGGAGGAAAACCAGTTGACTGAGGAAATGTTAATGAAACAGCAGCTGGGTAATGAGAAAACAGTTGTTTAGATGAAGAATGTACATAGCAAAGTACCCTAAATGGTGCTTGGTCAAATTGTAATATTGACCATTTTTGACATATGTCAATATGGTCAATATTGACCATATTTAAATATTTAAGTTACGAAGTCATTAACAAGTTAACAGCACAAACATTTCATTGTCTCTTCTTGTTCCCAAGGTTTGCATTCTTGTGATCTTTTCCTAAAGAAAAGCAATTTTACCCTGTGCGTTGTAACAGTACTTTGGTTCACTGACCTATATGCACCATAGATAAAATACATCCAAAAGGAAATGTGATCTTGAATTTACATGAATTACGTAAATCCCTTAGATTCTAAGTGTTCAGGTTTTGTGTTGTTTTTGTTTTTTTGTTTTTTTTAATCAGAAATGCAGTACTCATGTAGTTCAGCAGTCTAATGGCTTGGCTGTTTTGTGGAACAAAGAATGAGAACCCACTTTGGTTTGTTTGAGGAGAAGGTCAGTCTCACCAGCAAAATCCTTTCCAACTTCAAATGAACACCATGTGTTTAACTGAGCGGTGGTAAGGAGAAAGTGCAGCTCAATATTCCTCTTCCTGAAGTTCCCCTTCACCTTGCTAAGCCTTGGAGAAGGGCAGCAGCTGTTTGATGGGAATGATTTTTAAAAATAAATAAAGGGAAGCTTAAACGTTTAGAAAGACGTCCTGTAGAAACAAAGCTGTAACAGCTTTCTGGTACGTGTTTTGCTTTCAGTTCTAACAGAAGTTTACATCACAGACTGCAGCCTGTGATAGAAATAGATGATTTTGCCTTCAGTAATTTATGTTGCTTTTTAAAAACTGCACAAAGTCAGCAGCTCAGAACTCAGTGTATCTAATTAAATGATTTAAATTAGCACTACTCAACTGCTTAAGATCGGTGCAGATCTCTCTGCCAAAACCAACAGTTGGGATAATCAAGGTGATTTTATTAGACCTTCTTGTATATTAGGTGCCCATCATTTGTGGGACACAACACCAATCCTTATTGGTGCAGTTTCATTGACATCATTGGGACTACTTGAACATTTACCTCAATATGATTGCCCACTGTCTCAGACACATGTCAAAATTATCATAAAATTCTCCACCACTCCCACAGCCTAGTTTTAAGATTATAAGTCTGCCTCTTTGTATTTGCTAGACAGGAAACTACATATTAAAATGGTTTGGGGTAAGAATCTGATACTTAACTTGCAGGGGAGAAAAAGGAAAAAAAAAAAAAAAAAAAAAAAAAGCTTCATTAACAACAGAGATTTAGAAAGATCTTGTTGTCAGTTTGTAACAGTATTATACATGTTCCAGTGTGGTATCAGTTTCTTTTCTATTGAAAACAAATTATTGTTCCCGTTCCAGTCTGTTTCCTAGTGAGGACTGTGGCAAAGTGTTTTTAAGAGCTTGAGAAGGATTCTGCTGGCACGTTCATGTTACATTGTATGATATATGTTTGTTTGTCCTAGGAAAACCTTCCTCCTACAGGAGACCATGATGTGAAAGTACAAGTTAGAGCCTGTGCACTGAGCTGGATAGACACAAAGGTATTTGCTTACTTTTTTTTGTAAAAGCCAGAGGTGTTTACAGTTTCCATTGGAGTTCTAAGCCCATGCCTTAGCTGGTAACTGGCACAATTCCATGCGTGCCATCTGAGGATATGGCTTTACTGCTGAGAAACAAAGGGCGGGATTGATGTGGTGTTCTTATACGTCTCTTTAAGTAAAAGGCACCTGAATTTGTTTACTAATTTATGGGGAAAGATCACAGTTTTCATTTGAGTTCTTACAGTGAAACCCTTTTATCATCCCCTGCATACTGACTTTAAGTCCCGGTTTGGCTTGTCAGCTGATGGCTCCATTTTTATTTTTTTTCCTTTATACACTTCTAAATTTAAATACAGAAATAAAGTTTTTAATATTAAATGAGGAATGTGTGTGCTTCTTTTTTTGTTGT